TCAAGTTATTATGAGTAAGGCCTTTACATTTTGTAAAGTTCATTTTATTAAAATTTTCTTTTTTTTTTTAATAAGCAAAGTAAATATATTATTCATGGAATATAGGACGTACTCAAAACCCATTACATTACTAAAACATAAAGTTCCATTCATAGCAAAAGCTCCCAGAAATATGACGGGAGCCTACAACAACAGAAAGTAATCAAACACATGTTTTCAAAACATTTACCTGCCTTTAAGGGTGAAAATCCATCATATTTCTACCAGCGTCAAACCTTCTTCCTTGATGTCTATTGAGTGCTGAATAATCTCAAACTCATTGCTACAATCTCATGTAGCATTTTGTTGGTTTTGAACGCCATTTGTCTTACACAAGGTCTGAGCATAATGCTGTTTTGCACCAGTAAAATGATCTAAACTTTATCAGCTCAACAACTTGCTCCCTAGTGTCCACTCCATCTTTAAATATTTTCTGGTTTCGCCAAATCCAAATAGAGCACATAGTTGCAAACCAAACAACAGTCCACCTTTCCTTTACAAGACTTGTGGATATCATGCCAATGTGTTGCTCAAGATGAGGCCATCCTTTACTGTGAGCAACTACTTTGAGATTCCACCAGGCATAGCATGATGCCCAAATGCTCCATGATACATTATATTTGAAGAAAAGATGTTCCACGCTTTCTGCTTCTAGATCACATAGCACACATTTTTCATTGCCTTGGCCATTTATTCCCCGCTTCATCAAGTTGTCCTTTGTTGGGATTCTATTTTGCAATAATTTTCATGCAAATGCAATCACTTTGAGAGGTACATTTTTATTCCATACCAGATCATAGTTTTGGCCAAAACCTGTAGTGTGTTGTTGGCTTAAGTATTTGTATGCTGTTTGCACTGAGTACTTGCCCTCTTGGCTGTGTTTCCACATCCATGTGTCTTGTTGTCCTTTTTTCAATGAGATTCATTGCAGTTCATTGATTAATTCCTGCAGAAGTTCATTTTCCCAAACAAAAAGGTTTCGCCTCCACCTCCATTCCCATTCCCATTCCCATTCCCACTTCCCTTGATTCTAGTTACCCATATCTACAATGACAACTTCTTGATCTAAAGAAATTCTAAATAACCTACTGTATTTCTCCTTAAATGGAATCTCCCAATCCAAATGTTATGCCAAAACAGAGTATCACTTCCTTCCCCTATTGATTTTAACATTCCTTCTCTAACCCAATTTTTCCTTGGTTCAAAATTCCTATCTAGACTCCATAAATCTCTCCACCATGGTGAGCACCTAACTCCCCATTCTCCCCCTTCCCACTCATTTTTTAGAGTAAAGCTTGTATTTTGCCTCCAGCACCTTCCTCCATAGATTCCCTTTTTCTTATAACAGTCTCCATCTCCATTTTACTAGTAAGGCTAAATTAAAAGTCCCGACATCTTTCACCCCTAATTCGCCTTCTCTTCTACCTCTACAAACTCTTTCCGACTTAACCCAAGAAATTCTATTCTTTTCTTCATTCCCTCCCCAAAGAAATCTGCGTTGGATTAAGGAGATAGATTAAGTACCTGTTTAAGAGCCTTCATCGAAGAGAAGTAATACACAAGGATACATGATAGGACCGAGTTCAGCAGAGTGATACGGCCGCCAAAAGACAATGCATTACACCTCTAGGAAGACAACTTTTTCCTTAGACAATCAATGACTAGCTTCCAAGTAGATAATTTCCTTGGGTTTGCCCCAACCAACACACCCAGATATTTAAAAGCAGCCATTCTTGCTAGACAGTTCAAACTGTCAGCAAATGCCAATTATTCTCCATTATCTACATTAAATCCATACAAAGCACTTTTATGGAAGTTCACTTTCAAGCCAGATAGCAATTTGAAACTCTTTAGGATACATCTAATCATCCATACATTTTTAGCTGAAGCCTCACAGAAGAAGATGGAATCATCTGCAAATTGGAGATGAGTTATGTTCAATTCCAACTCCCCCACCGAGACCCCTTTGAACAATCCCTCCTCTGTCGCTTTACTAATTAACCCATTAAGGGCTTCTGCAACCATTAAAAACAGAAAATGAGCAAGAGGATCTCCCTGCCTTAATCCTTTTGATACTGTAAACTCCTTGGTAGGACTACCATTTATCATCACAAATACAGTGGTTGAAGACAGACACTCTTTTATCTAGGCTCGCCATTTTGTTGAGAAGCCTAGTTTGTTCATCATTTCGGCAAGGAACTCCCAATTAATGTTGTCGTATGCCTTTTCAAAATCTGCTTTGAACACTAGCATCGGTTTCTTTGACTGCTTAGCTTCGTGAATGATCTCATTGGTGATAATTATGCCATCTGTTATTTGTCTTCCTCCAATGAAAGCTGTTTGGTTAAGGCTTATCACCAAGTCCAACACCTTTTTCAACCTATTAGCAATTATTTTGGAGACTATTTTGTACATGCTGCTAATGAGAGAAATTGGCCTGTAGTCCCCAAGACTTTGAGGATTGTCCTTCTTAGGAATCAGGACTAAGAATGAAGCGTTGCTCCCTTTAACTAGCTTGCTATTTTCATGAAATTCTGCTAAAAAAGCATACACATCCTCCTTAATAACTGGCCAGACCTTTTTAATAAAATTGAAATTAAAACCATCTGGGCCTGGGCTTTTGGTTCCATTGCATCCTCACACTGCTTCATCAATCTCCTCGGTAGAAAATTTGGAGATTAAGAACTTATTATCAGCTTCACTAATCTTCTTGAATTGCAAGTCTCCTAGTGTAGGTCTGCTCCACTTTTCTTCTTCAAATTTACCTTTGAAGTAGTTTCTTGCCAGCTCCTTTCCCTCACTGACATCTTCGATCCATTCTCCATTGCTATAGAGGCCTATAATTCCATTTTGCTTTCTTCTATGGACAATGTAACCATGGAAGTACTTCGTGTTTGCGTCACCTTCTTTTAGCCATCTCTGCTTAGATTTCTGAAATACCATGCTATCTTTTGCCTTACTCCACTCCATGAGCTTATGAAAATTCTCCTTTCTTTTACCGATCTCCATGCTTGTAGGCCCACCATTCCCCTCCTTTTCATCTAACCGCTTTATTTCTTCTCTAGCTGCATCAATATTTCTATCCACTCCTCCGAATACTTCTTTGTTCCAAGCTTCCAACTCCATTTTTAACATCTTCAGCTTTTCTTTTAGTTTGTAACAGCCCCACCCATCTATCTCAAAACTTCTCCACTTATCATGAACAAATACATCAAAGCCCTCGTGATTCATCCAGCAGTTTAAGCTTCTAAATGGCTTTGGACCCCAATCCGTATTTAAGCTTTTCAGTAGAATAGGGCAGTGATTTGATAGGTCTCTATTCAAAGCTCGTAGAGACAAATTTAGGAAGTTGATTAGAAATTTTGTGGAGAATAAGAATCTGTCTAGTTTACTCATTGTTGTTCCATCTGGTTTATACCATGTAAATTTTCTCCCTACCATAGGTATTTCCTCCAAGCCTACTCCTAAGATGAAGTCATTGAAACCTCTCATATTTGCAGCATCAATGTACCTCCCACTTCTTTCTTCTTGGTCTCGTATTGCATTAAAATCCCCTCCAACACACCAATTTCCACCTCCATTTGCCTTAATTAAGTCAAGGAGTTCACCCCAAAAGATTCTTTTCTCTTGCTTATCACAGGAAGAATAAACATTTATAAGAAAGCAAGGCACTGCATCCTTTCCCCAAAAGCCAAACATTCCAATAAAGCCACTGCCTTCAATTCTTCGCACCATGTTGAACGAATCTAGATTCCATACGCTCGCAATTCCGCCAGATCTTCCTCTTGCATCTTTTGCGACCTATGCAGAATGCTCATCACCCCAGATGGATTTTGCTATTTTATCATTGAACACTTCAAGTTTTGTTTCCTGAATAAAGACCAGATCCGCTTTCTTTTTCCTTACTAATTCCCTCAAGCCCCTTTTTTTATTACTTCCCCCTAGTCCCTTGATATTCATGGAGATGATTCTCATTTGGGATTTGTTGCTACTCCCTCTTTTGCAGCTACTGTCAACTTCTTTTGTTTTACTAGAGCTATTCTATCTCTTTTCTCCATTACACCCACTCACCTAATAAGGCCATCCACATTGCCCTTATTTCCCAAAATTTTGCTGCTTCTTGTTTCCAATTCCTACTGCTTTCATTTTTACAATTCGAGGAGCTGCACTCCCCTTCAATTCCAACCATTTGGTGAATGCTCTTCAAATTATCTTCACCAGCACTTGCTCTGTTCTTGCGTTTCCTTCTTCCCTTCATTTGCTTGACCCACTTTCCTTTTCTTGCTCTATCTTGAGCCAGGCGTTTTGCCCTTGCTTGGAGGATCTCATCATCACTTATTAACCTCTCCCAAAATGGCTAAGTACTTTTCTCCTCCTCTATCTCCACACTTTCTAGAATATTATTGTCTCCCACCTTCCTTCTCGCATCTTCCAAGTCCCATACTTGTTTTGAGTCTTCACTTTGTTCACTGGCCTAGGTGATAGTCCTTTTTAGTATGTTAACTCCTTGTTGAGAGCCCACGCTTTCCTGCCTAATTTCATGGTTGAAGTTTCCTTGGCCCAAATGTTGTAATCTTAAATTTGTATTAGTTTTATAGCCCATCCCAACACTGCTGCTATCCAATCTCAACCGTGAGGTGTTTTGGTCCATAAGGCCCAATTGATTGACATTTTGCTGGTATACATTTCTGTCTCCTTCCTTACACTTGTGCAAGTTGTCAGAGCCGATTTCCTCATTGTCGTCTTTAGCATTGCTTTTCCCATTTTCCAATAGATCTACTCCATGATCCTCCTCGGAACTACCTTATTTGCTTGCCACCGCTAACAAATTTGAATTGCATCCATCTACATTAAATGCAACTTTTTTTGACAGCATGGTTTCAAAAACTTTTTTTTGACAGCGTGGTTTCAAAAACTTTTTCTACCTCCGGCTCCAACTCTGGCAACACCCCCTATCTCTTCCTTCCTGAATTGACATCCTCCATGATCTCCCTATCTTCATCATCCTGCATAATTTGCCAACCATCCCAATTATGTTCGTTTTCAGTTTGACCCCAAGTTGATTCATCTGACCATTCTTCATCCTCAGAATCTTCATTTCTGCACAGTACAAAGTTAGAGTGGAGAGAAAATAAATTATCAATCCCTAACTCCTCTGAGATTCTAATATGAAATGTGGACTCCCTAGCTTTAACCTTTATCACCCTTTGAATATTAGCCTGGGAAGGTGTCATGACTAAGATTTTGGCCACATCCAATCGTGATTTTTTAATAGTACTATTATCAAGGGAGATAAATTTTCCAAAGAGATTTGCCACTATCTCAAAGAAGCTGCTCTTCCATATATGTAGTGGTACCCCTTGGCATCTCAACCAAGTAAATCTTTCTGCTGCAACCAACTCGGGATTCCAAGGTTTGATATCTGTGAACCACTGTGCAAGCCAGTCTCTCCTAGTTTCTACTAGATTCTTTAGTTCATCACTGTCTTCACAAGTGATCAATACCATATTACTACCCATTGGTGTTACTTTTGCTGAGAAGTAACCTTCCATTAGGAATTTTTCTTGAAGATTGCAGATGATTTTTGGACTCTTGGAAAACCCCACAAAACTGTTTCTCAACCATTCCATATCTTCTTCCTCAACCTTCACCTCAAGCCCGTGCCAGCTCTCCATCTCAGACTTGTCTGAAGTTCCTTGCCTTTTCCTCTGCCACTCCTTCCTTTGAGCCTGACCATGGGTCTCACTTTTCCCTCCTTTCAAGGTCTCTACGTAGGACAAGATGCCTCTTTCTTTCAGTTGCACCCTTCTTCTACTTTGCCGCTCCATTTTATGGTCGCCTTTAGCAAACCTGGCCAGATTTGCATGGAGGGGTTGATCACCAAATTTGATTTGATTAAGCTTGGCCTCCAGGGAGTTCGGGTTTGCCACATCAAGGAATCTGGCAAAGCCGAACCGACGTCCCCACCTATCTCTCTTTTGTGCAATGAAAATCTGAATTGCCCTTCCGCATTTCACAAATGCTTGCCACATATCTCCCATCTCCACATCTTCTGGAAATTTTGTGATGAAAAAGGAGGTTGCTTGCTCCAGAACCCCTTTACCATATCCATATGTTGGTTTTCGGTTCCCCTCACGGTCCTGTCCTACTGTCCTTTCAAGTCCCCGTGCATTACTTCTCTGAAGGCTGTGGTAGTTGGTGTGGTTTGGTCGCTCTCTCACTGGAAAATGCTCAGGAAAGGGGTTAGGGTGGTTAGGATTTCTAATGGTGTTGGTGGGTTTCTCTCTCATGGTTTCTCTCCTTCTTTTATTAAAATTTTCTGGCTGGGGTAAGGCTTATGCCTAACCCAGCTCTATGTGCGTCCGCCCTCTGACGAGAAAAACTCCTTGATCCTTGTAGTTGTATAATCCATAAATGCTTGTTCGTGGTAAGGTTGTCGTGTCGGACTCCAAGGCTCCACTTCGGATCATGGATTTTTTGCTGTGCCCTTTCTCATGACAAAATTTTTTTAGTAAACTACATTCGAATGATGATTATGAAGGTACGATTAGTCATTTGAGAAAGAAACATAGATTAGTGGAAGAGATTGATGACTTGATGTACAAGAGAGCTCTTTCCCATAGTAAGGGTACACAGCTTGGGTTTTGGTGCCTTGTGGTGGCATGTGATGGTGGGCAACTATTATATGTTTCCTCCTGATGCCAATTTCTATTAAAATATGTTAATTAATGTTTTTTTAAGTCATTATAATCCTTTATTAGTATATCTTCTCAACTCCCCTATAACAGTTTTTTTTTATCCTTTTACTTTTGTTTTCCAAATTATTATTATTTTTTGCTATAACTAATTTTTTTATATTTAAATATAAAATTATTTTACATAACAACTTTGTTTTACAACCCACGTGTTAATATAAATAAGTTTTTCTTAAAAAAAATATAATAGATTTTGAATATATTTTTTAAAAATTAATTGAGATTTTAATATTATATTTAAATGATTTATTATGTCATTTATAAAAAAATAGTGGTTTATTATGCTTTAACTTTATAAATTTATGTGAGATTTAAAATGATATTTTAAAAATAATGAAGAGAGTAGTGTGAGATTCATAAATTATTTGATGATATTATCATTATTAATGCGGCTTATTAAAGTTAAAATACTATTTTAGTATTTTATTATTAAAAAATATTTTGTACTTTAGATTATATATATAAATTTTTTGGCTTTAACCATTCAGATTATATCAAGTTGTAAAATATGAATTATTGAATGAAAGGTGGATCCTAATATTAAGATTCTTTTTTCATCTAAGAATTTTTTTAATAATTTAATATAATTTAAATTAAAAAATAATAAACTCTTTTTCTATCTTTAATAAACTCTTATTATTTACTTTTAGCAGTCAATTTTTAATTATATTTTTTTTAAAGATAAAAATATATCCTAACCACACGCCAAGAAATTTAAGAAATGCTAGTAGATTACGAATTTATGAGTTGGGCGAGGGTATTTCGGGAAGAGTAAGAGTTGGCAAAAGTAGACCTTATAAACAGGTCAGATTAAATGCGTTCGAATTCAGTCATTTCGAATTTTGAGTTGTTTGGATTGAGTTATTTTAAATGTTTAAAGAGTTTAATCCATGACTTACTTACATAAGTTTCGAATTGGGTTGAGTAGACTCAATCTTTAAAAAATTAAAATTAAAATTAAATTTTTTTATATGTTTCTCTATTTTTCTTTAACAAAATTTAATATTAATTAACTATTTAGTTAAAAAATTTTATTACTAATTAATTATTTAGTTAGAAAACTTATTAAATGTTAATTTCCATTTCATGATTCAATTTTTTTTCAATCCAAAAAAAGAAAAGAAAGATATTAGTGATTATATATGTAGAATTAAAATATATGTCAAATATATAATATTTATACTATATTTAGAATTCATAATTTCACAAATGTATTAACTTTTATTAAAAAAAGAGACATGAAATATAAGAGTTCAAAAGACAATCCAATATATATATATTAATATCTAATGCCTATTAAATATTTATAAGAGTATTATATAAAAAATACAATTTTATTCAATATTTAAGAGGGTATTATATAAAAAAATATAATCTTATTTAATATTAAAGTTTAAAAAACAAATCCAAAATATGTCTAACCAAATACAAGAAGAAATTAGATCGAAATTGGATCGAAATTGGATCAAAATTGATTTTTATTAATTAGGAACAAATTATTAATCAAAAACAAATTAACAACTAAAAACGGACTTTGATGTTCTTGTTTTTGTACTGCTAATGGTTATGAGGGTATTTTAACCACTGAGTTTTGATTTTTAATAGGCATTCTTGTTTTTTATTTTTAAAAAATGATCTTTTTTACGATGTCATATAACGTAACTCACTACATGCCATCTAATCTAATTTTTTACACTAGTGCCATAAAAAAGAAGAATTAGAAAGCTTGAGATGAAGAAGGGGAGAGCGAGAGTGAAGAGAAAAAGTTGAGAAAAAGTGAAATTAATGAGATATTAGAGTTTGAGTATTTTATTTATTTTTACTTTTAGGATTAGGAAATTAAAAATTAAAAATTAATTTTTAAATAATCTAATAAAAAATAAATAAAAAAAATTAAATCATTTCGAATGACTTGATTCACCTATAATTCAATTCATTTGAGTTTGGATTATTTTAGTCTGAGTCGTTTTAAATTTTGAATTAATATATAGGATCGATGACTCTACCCAAAACAGATGGTTTGGGTCAAACTTTTAGTTTGAGTTTAATTTTGCCAGGTCTAGTCAAATGAAAGGGTTTCACGAAGTGAAGAAAGGAATAAAAACGTCCCTTCGATAATCGATCCCTTTGGATTTGTGATCAATAATTGAGGAATTTGAAGGTATTTTTATATAATGGTTAAAATTTAATAAATAGAAAATAATAAATAATAAATTTGATTAAT